GACCCCGGGGCATGCCTCTCCCAGGCGACTGATCGATGTCCCGAGAGGGAGCTGATGGGCGGATGGGGTTCCCGCCGCATGTCGCATCCACCGCTAACCGTCCCCACAGTCCTCCGAACCTGGCTGAATCTCCTCACCGAGACGGACGTCGACGCCCATGTGGCCATCGTCACCTATTCCGGCCGCGGTCCGGTCATGGACAAGAAGTTCACCGTGCGTAGCCACTCCACTTGACCCCGACACACTTGGCCTTGATCCTGTCCGGGGGCCGGTTCCGGCGAGATGACCCCCCCAACCAAGGGGTCAGATCCGTTGGGCAAGCCCGTCCCGCCCTGCCGCCATCCTCTCGGATCGCAACGATCACCGAGCACAAGCAGCCGCGAGCCCCGTTCCGATGACTGTGTTCCTGACTGGTTGCCCTTCCCCCGGTCCCGCACCCCCCACCCGGTGCCCCCCTCCCCCCCTCATTCCCCCCTCCAGCCGCTGAACGACTACACCCTGGAGGAGTTTGAGCAGGTCATTTCGATGATTTCCACATACGGCGGCCACGAAGGCACCCTCGAGACCATTCGCGGTGTCTTCCAGGCCAACCGTCGGGACCACAATGTCAACACCATCTGGCGCGCCGATGCCCACCCGGTGCTGATGCTCTTCACCGATGAGGACAGCGATCCGCCGGTGTCGCTGGACAACCTGGTGTCCGGCCAGCCGACCGGGCGCTTCTTCTGCCCCCCGGAGTCCAACGTCAACCTCGGCCGGAATGCCATGACCCCGGCCAACTTCGAGAAGTTCCAGCAGGAGGTCGACCTGACGGCCGACATCCTCATCCGCCGCGGGGTGACCGTCTTCATGGCCGTCCCCTCCAAGTTCGACGACGAGAACACCTGCCTGACGAGCGCCCAATTCGGCGAGGCCAACCTCAATGTCGAAAATGGCGACCTCTCCGGGTACGACCCGCACGCCACGCACAAGCGCGTGCGTGCCGATCCCCTGGCCCGGAATTCCATCCAGGGCCAAATGCTGGATGCCGGCAGTACCATTCGTCTGTTCCAGATCGAGAAGGTCGTCCAGGATGTCTACGCGCACAACTTCGTCAAGAACATGTTCATCCAGGTGACCGACGTGGTGACCAAGTGCGACGACCGGTGCATGGAGTATACCTGCACCAAGGACGCCTGCCTCCCGCCGAAGGATGTCTGCGGCTGCGATGGGGTCCGCCATAGTGGCAAGGTACGGTGCCGAATTGGGGCGCCCGCCGCCCGGGTGGCATGTCCTCAAGCGGGGCCACCGACGGCCGTGCCATGGTGCCATGCCTTTTTTCTTGGCCCTGGCTGTTGTTTGTCTCGCTCTCCCCCCCATCGCTCCATTTGCCCGGCACCCGCGCCCCGCACCGTTCCCTGGACCCCCACCAGGCCGGGAGTCCCCATACCCAAGTGGAAAGAACCCCCTCCCCCGATGACTGACATGTTGCACATTCCACGGTTACCTCCGTGGCCCGCGGCTCGCCTCCGGGGCCCTTTCCTCGCGTGGCCGGCCTTCTCACTGGACTTGCTGAAAATCCTCGCCCCCGCTCCACCAACAACCCGCCACTCCCCCCCCAGGTCTTCGATTGCAAGGGTGTGTGCGGCGGCCCGGCCAAGGTCGACTGCAATGGCACATGCAACGGCCCCTTCCGCTTCGACCAGTGCGGCGTTTGCACCCTCGACGGTGCCACCAGCAGCTGGTGCGAAAAGGATTGCTCCGGCAACTTCTTCCGCTCGGGGCTGCCGAAGAATGTCAACATGCAGAATGACATCTGCCCGGCGTGGTTTGATCCGATCAGCTCCCTGGTGGCCGACAGCAAGTTCCGCGAGGATGCCCGTGCGCTGGCCACCAAGGCCCGCGCGGACAACCTGGAGCCCTTCGCCTGCGAGGCCTTCCGCACGAAGCACGAGTGGAACATCTCGCTGAAGGCCTGCCAGCCGGATGTGGCCGCCTATCGCGCGGCCAACCCCACCGCCGGTCTGACCTCCGACTCGGACAAGGCCGGCTTCCGTGCGCACTACCTGGCCACCGGCTGGAAGGCCGGCCTGGCGGTCAAGTGCCTTGCCGGGTCCGAGCACTTTGTCCAACCCCCCCGCAAGAACCAATGCGGCCAATGCACCACCGTCGATGGGGGGGCCTTCTGCAAGAAGGACTGCTCCGGGGCCTGGCGCACCAGCCAGGCCGCCATGCACTTTGTGGATGACTGCGGCCAGTGCCTGCCGGCCGGCACCAACCCCAACAAGAACAAGGACGATTGCGGCATCTGCTGGGGCGAGAACAAGCAGAAGAACGCCTGTGGCGAGTGCAATGGCCCGCGCGGGCTCAACCCCTGCGGTGTGCCCCTTTGTCGCCTGGAGCAGGCGGCCTTCTGCCAGAAGAGCCCCGACCAGTGCACCTGTGCCCAGGATTGCGCCGGCCAGTGGTACACCGGCACCTCGCCGGCCAATGTCCGTGACGCCTGCGGCCAGTGCCACCCGGCCAGCAGCCCGCCGGACAATTGCCTGACCGACTGCAAGGGGGCCCGCTACCGTCGTGGCGACACGCCGGCCAATGTGCTGAATGAGTGCGGCCAGTGCCTGCCGCGTTCCAGCTCCAACACCTGCGTCAAGGACTGCGCCGGCAAGTGGTACGACAGTGCCAAGGCCCAGTCGGAGAACTTCGTCGATCAGTGCGGCAAGTGCACCTCGCGCAAGAACCCGGCCCGTTGCGAGCAGGACTGCCGCAAGGAGTGGGTCCGCGAGGGCGAGGACTTCTATGTGCAGGACGTGTGCGGCATCTGCGTCAAGCAGCGCATCGACCCGGCCACCGGCCGCGATGTGACCGACCTCAACCAGAATCTCGATGCCTGCCGCATGTGCCCGGGGGTCACCTACCAGAAGGACCCGTGTGGCAACTGCCCCAACTCCCCGAAGTACAAGATGGGCAAGAATGGCTGCGGGGTGAATCTTTGCACGCTGGACACCTGCACATCCAATTGCCAATGCCTGTACGTACCCCTGTGTGGTCCCTCAACCCGTCCCGCCGTAGCTCCTTGTGCCATGCCTCTCTCTCTCTCTCTCTCTCTCTCTCTCGCTCGCTATCGTGTCTCCTGAGTCCCAGTGTGCAAGTGTGTCCAAATGTGTATGTGTATGTGCGAAGACAACGCCGCCAGCGGCGCCGGCGAATGCTCCGCGGAGGGATAGACCCCCGGGCGCCAGCCTCTCGCCTATTGTATTTCCGGTTGGCGCCCCTTCAAGGGACCCCCTCTTGCGCATTCCCGAGACACACACGCACACGCACGCATGTGCATAGTAGGTGTATGAGAGAGAGACCCGAGACGACATGCTCGACTCCTGCCGCACAGCCCTCCCATATTATAAGGCCATCGGAGGCCGCTGCCAGCTCGAAGCTCACCGGCCCCCCTGCGAAATACTCTCA